GGGAAAAGGCTATAAACAGAAGTCTAGAAAAGCTAAAAGTCTGCCAGTTGTCAGAAAGGTATCACAACTGGTGTTTCAATGCTGCAAAGTCTCCTCAGTGAAAAAGCTTGGAAAAGCCAAGACACTATCAGTGAATCTCTGGAATTTTCTCAACTGAGAATACTTTCTGTGAAAAAGCACTTTTGCCCAGATTTCTCACAAAATCTCCGATGGGGAGAAGAACTGGAGAAGTACTTCCGATGAGCTCAACGTATAAGCCATGAAATAACTATGCATAACTATTCTGTAGGTGTGGCCTGCTTTCCGGGTCCACTGGTGGAACCTCTTCTAACTGGTTCGGTAGATTTGATGAACCGGTTCTACTGAATAGGTGCGAACTGGTAGGAACCCACCTTTGGCCCATTGGCTGTTCTTATGGTTGTTTTTATGTCATTATTCTTTTTAGTTTTTACAAAAAGTAGGAACAGCAAGTGAAATTTGCAAGTGGAATCTATTATTCCCCATTGGAGTAGAAAGTCAACCTGGGTGTTGCAGGCTGGCACTCCCACAAATTAAAGACAGGAAGGGGAGAAATGAGGTGAGAGCATCATGGAATCAGTGGTGGGTTCCTACCGGTTCGGCCGAACCAGTAGTGGTTTGGTACCAGGGTTGCTGAAACTGGCAGTGACTGAGGTGTGCCATGCCCCAGAACCGGTTCTCTGGGTGGTGCCATAAGTGGCACCATCTCGTTTTGTGCTTCTGTGCATACGCAGAACAATTTTTATTGCACTGCGCATGCATGCATGCACACATCAAGCCCATCAAGCGTGCGCGCAGCACGTCCATGAGTGAACCTGCAGTAGTGCCTGCCGGAACCCATCCCTGCATTGAATGTTTTTTCCTCTGCTTCGTAGAATGAAGGAGAATGAAGAACGCTCCCGAGCTCTGGAAGAAGAGAGGGAGTTCTATTCCTCCCAGTCACAGGCCCTACAGAATTCCCTCTCTGAGCTGACAGCCGAGAAGCAGAAGACAGAGAGAGACCTCAAGGTATGGTAGTACAGTTTCTATTATGGTAGAGGTGGTTCTTAGGCCTAAACTCGGCCCTGCTTCACTTTTCAGTTTCCAGAACTCCTTATGGCTTTATTAATGAATTTCAGTCTCCTGTCATGTAGTCTCTACATGAAACAGACTTAAAGGAGATGAACAGTGACCCCACTCTACCATTAAGCACATTTTTTGTAAAAAAAAGGAAAAGACCCACATGAAAGACTTATTAGTTCATCCTTTCATTAAGCCCTATCTCACCAAAACAATTTTTGGTTTGTCCTTCTAGACAAGGGGTGTCAAACTCAAGGCTCATAGGCTGGATATGGCCTGTGGGATGCTTAGATCTGGCCCGTGATGCTACCCTGGAAATAGTGAAGGACCAGCCCACGGTGCCTTTGCTGGTGAAAACGGAGCTTGTGAGGACTGTGTGTGAGTCTCACAAGCTCCGTTTTTGCGGGCAGAGGGCTGCAGGAGGCCATCGCAGCCAAAAACGGAGCTCGTGAGGGCCATGTGCAGCTCCATTTTCGCTGGCAAAGGGCCAGCAAAACAAACCATTAGCAAAAGTGGCATTTGATCACACGAGTAACGTTGAGCTGGCCATGCCCACTCTGGCCACACCTACCCCAGCCCCCCCTCCTGAGGTCAAACACAAACCTGAGGCAGCCCTCAATGAAATCTAGTTTAACACCCCCCCGCTCTAGACAAAAAGAAAAAAGAAAGGTGACCCAATCTGTGTTATAGAGTCAGCCAACAATCTCACTTGCCCTTCTTCTACTGCTGAATGACACAAAATAAAATAACATCAAGAGAAGGGAACTGGAGCTACCCCCCAGGTAGTGTACCAATTGTTTAAAACACACACACACACACACACACACACACTTCTTGCTTCTTGTTTGCAATTTGCTGTTGCATTTCTTTTCTGGATTTTTTTTGGGATCGCCTCCTTTCCTCCTGGCTCAGGCAGAAGTGAAGGTGCGTATGGACCTGGAGAAACGCTTGCAGGAGGCTGAAGAGGCCCTGCAGAGCCTTGAACAAGGCTTAAACTGCAAGCATCGCAACAAAGAGAAGGAGGAAAAAATGAAAGCTGACGTCAGCAACCTGAAAAGTGAGTGGACCTTCCCCACGGCTGCTAAGTAGCTTCTACAATAAAACTACCACTTCAAAAGAAGTATCACCTTGCAGGTGCCTCCAGCTGGAAACATTAGCCAGTGAATCCTTGCATAACCGTGAGTTGTGAATCTGCTAAACAGTCCTCAGGAGTGTTGCAGTAGCACTTTTGGCACTCTAAAAATCTAAGCTAACGAAGTCTAGGAAGGAAAAAAATCATCATGGGTGAACTTCCTGAAGGAAGGTCAAATTTTAAAAAGCATGGAATGTATCCTTGTATTTCATGTCCCTGCTTTTTTTAAATGCAACCTCAGCAGGTGACAGCTGGGCTGAGAAGCTAAACAAACAGTACTTAAATCAGAGACCACAAGGGAATCTCACAGCTATAGACTAGACCAGTGATTCTCAATCTCAGCAGCTTTAAGAGGTGTGAATTTCAGCTTCCAGAATCCTTTCCCTGAGCATGTTGGCTGAAGAATTCTGGGAGCTGAAGTCCATATATGTTAAAGGTTTCTGAGATTCAGAAACACTAGACCAGTGGTTCTCAAAGTGGGGCATAGGGGGCCAATTTGATTTTTAATGGGGACAATTTGAACCTTGTTTAAGCCAAGTTAATTTTAGGCTTCCTCCACGTGAGTAGAGTTTACTTTTTGAGTAAAGTAAGAATTATATGTGGGGGAGGGTTGCAATCAGGATTTTAGAGATGCTTAGTTGGGGCATGGACAAAAAAAGGTTGGGAACCACTGCACTAGACTGAACCATGGTTAATTCCACAAGAAAACATTGCTCCTAAGGAAACTATATAAAGGTGTCCATAATTTTGCCAGCAGTGAAATCAAAGGAGGACTTTATCTTTTCAAAAATCAAGCAGAAGCTGCTGACCACATTGGCTAATGAGTGCAATTAGAATTGAAGCGGGCAGGAATGGCAAATCCAACCTTTTATTGGAGCCAAGATATAAAGCCACAGCTAATACCATGTTTAATCTGCCCCCAAGAATCATTTTTACTTGCCTGAGTTTTCATTCTTAGGGTGATGAAATGATTTACCTAAAGTAGCATGATTTCTTCTTTCAGACCTCTAAATTCATAATTTTAAAACCTATGGACCACTAATAGGAATTAGTTACGGGATGAGGTCCTTCAGGCACTTAGGTTGGCCACCTGTTAGCAGAGAGAAGCACCCAGGGTCAACCCTAGGTTGGCTGTCCATTGCAGCTAGGAATCTCAAATACGGTCAAGAATGAATGTTTGTCTTGTAGCCAGGCTGGGCGCTTGATTGGCCCCCTGCAAACTCTGTCATTTGAAGAGCCTGGCCGAAGTTTTGCACACCGCTCACTGATGGGAGGGAGGGATGGAAGGGCTGGAGCTACTAAATAGGCAGGCAAGTGCCTGAAGGACTCCATTCCATCAGCAAAAGGGACTAATTGCTTCGGCAGACTATATCTGCCCCAGGGGCCATAGTTTGAGGATCCCTGGTTTAGTGTAATATAAAAAATGCAAAGATTTTTCTGCAGACCACCAAACTTTTCTCACAGACTACGAGTGGTCCACAGACCACCAGCTGGTGACTGCTGCTCTAAATAAGAAATCCCATAATCTTCCTGTCAATATGGTCATTTATAATTCTAGGAAGTCACGGAAGCATGGAGTGCTAGCTTGAGGAACAATGGTCTAAGACTAGGATTTATTCCAATTCCCCTGTCTCTGATCATCCTGTAGAATTCTTTGAAGAATGTATCCGGAATGCTGAATTAGAAGCCAAGATGCCAGTAATTATGAAAAATTCTGTGTACCTTCACAAGGCTGCCACTCGCAGGATAAAAAGCTGCCGATTTCGTCGTAGGAGATGCAGCAATTCATGGAATAGTTGTAAGTACTACTTATCCCTGTTAGTCTATAGTTTATAGATAATTCAGGGTTTGTGATTTTTTTTTATTATCTTGTAAAAAGGACACAATTGTAGTCACCTTGCTGAAAAAACTGAGATCACCTTTGATTCCATAATAATAACCTTGAACTAAGAAAAAGGCACTCATTGATTGACAAGTTTTTCCACATTAATTAAAGCTCTAAATCTATGGCTGTACTTTATTGGTTTAATATGAAGCTGATCTCTGGGGGCAAAATCAATCCCATATGTGGCTACAGCTTGCATGGCTGCTAGAAATTCTGAGTTACAAACCAACACATCTAGAGGATATCTAATTGCGAAAGGCACACTTGATATATTGTGATAGCTCCGTTATGTGTATTAATCAGGGTTTTGTTGACTGGAATCTTTTTTCCTCTTTGATTGGCACCAATTACTTAAGCTGTTTGATAACCCTAATTTTATCCCTTGTTCTCACAATATTGGCCTTTTCTAATTCCCAGGCCTGGTTTTCACAGACCTACCCCACTGTTTTCCATAGTTCAAAATGTTCATCAACCACAAAACATAAATAAGAGGAATGATGAATGCATCTTTATGCCACAAGTCTTTGTCACTGTAAGGATTACAAATAAGTAAAGTTTCCTACTGTTGTATACCATTCTTGTTTTCAGTGCGGCAATCACAATCATTCATGTACTCAGAAGCAGAAAACATAGAAGAGCTGAAGCAAGCTGCCAAGAAGCTAAGCCAGGACCATCATTTCCGGGAAACCATCTATCAAATCATGGAGTCGCATCAGGATTCTTCCTTGGTCAACAAAAAGTGAACCACCCCCACTCTATTGTCAGGGGAGATCTAGACTCAGCTTGTCATTTCATTCAGCAAAAGCCAAATTGATTTGTCTAGATGCAGAAGTATGATAGCAGTGGAATTTCATGAGGAAGTAAATGGAACAGTTTTCATTGTAGAGCTTCGTGATCAGACCATTATTCTCAATCAGAATGTTCCATGTAGCTTGCTGTAACTCCTTGGCTGTCGATTCCTGTCATATTAACTGACTCTGCTTTCCTCTCAACTTCCTTTATCAAGATCCATGGTTTTACAAAATGCCCAGCCAGTCCTTTAATACCTGGGAGAAAACATACAGTATATGAAACAAGTACATCAGGTGATGAGCCTAAGAAGTAAATCATCTGTAAAGGGAAAGATACTACAGATTTCTCATTGGAGGTCAATGATGGTTAAAATTAACTTTGCTCTACAACCTTTCCTGCCACAGTTGTCAAGTGGAACTGGAACTGGGCCTGGCTAGTCTAGTGAAGAGAAGGACCAGGGGAGACATGATAACAGTGTTCCAATATTTGAAAGGCTGCCATAGAGAGGAGGGGAGGGGCGTCAAGCTATTTTCCAAAGCACCCGAAGGCCAGACAAGAAATAATGGAGGGAAGGAGACCAAGGAGAGATTAAACTGAAAAACAAGGAGGAACTTTGTGACAGTGAGAACAATCAACCAATGGACCAGCTTGCCTTCGGAAGTTGTGGGAGCTTGAGACTTTCAAGAAGAGATTGGACTGCTGTCAGAAATGGTGTATGGTCTCCTGCTTGAGTGGGGGAAGGTTGAACTAGATGACCTACAAGGTCCCTTCCAACTCTGTTGATCTGTTTTCTGTATTCACTGTCGTTTGGTGGCTAGGTCATCATGCTTCTAACATATTATGCTATGTTCCCTATTTCCTCTGTGTAGAAGGAAATTTCTAGGGCTGAAAATTGTCTGATGAGAATTAATGACATCTCTTTATGGTATCTATTGGCAAATATAATGCCTATCACAAGTAGAGAAAATCTCATATTTGCTTTTGGAGACTTCTCCTCTGATGCTTCCATAGCACCTGCTACAATCTGGCAGCTGGCAACTCCAGGAAATCATCACCTTTATTTCTGATCCTTCCCTTCACATGGAGAGAACATGCCCACTTCTGTCTTGCTTAGATGCTTGTGAACCCCCTGCTCCTCTGATATGTTTCATAACATAACCCTCAAGGACCATCCTAGATATTTCTTGGAAAGTTTAGTAGCAAGAGCAATGTCCACAAAAGATGTGGTGGTTTAGCAAGCTTCTGAGCTGATTTGATTTAAGAATGGAGAGAGGAGTGGAAAACAGAGCAGAACAGAAGAAAAGAAGCTTAATAATATCCCCCATTCCCACACAGCTAGTTGTGCTACTTCCAAGTAAGAAAATTATCTATTGATCTACAGACATTTGGGCCAAAAAAAACCCCAGGGCTGTCCCAATTAAATAGGAAACAAACATTTTCTGCTTGTATCCCAGTTTCTTTTGACAATAACAACCACCAACTGTTAGCGTTTAAAATAATTCTAGGCGCCTGACAAGGATCAGAACCATCATGGGCAGGTGAAGAAACAGCTCAGTTCCTCACCCACCCCCAAATTCTTTTTCTGTATCGGAGTAAGTCACAGATGCTGTGAATCTGGGAGGGCTGAAAAGAAAAATCCATAAAAAGAAGGAAGGTGCCTAAATAAGTCTGCTAGGCTGCTCTAGATTTCTATCTTGGTATCGCACTCTTTGCAAATGCCAAAATGGAGATTAATTCTCAATTAATCCTTTATTGTATTTTATTCCAGATTCATCTGCCACAAGTTCCTCTGGCTAAAATAAAATACCATTGGGTACTTTAGAATGTTTAGAATATGATCCGAAGCTGCAAACAGACAGATTACTAAATCTTTAACTGATCTGTTCAGATGTATGGGACAAACCAAGACGACATGATATTTTAGAACTATTTAAAATAATAGGATAACTATATAGCCAGGAGTGTGATCCTACCGGTTTAACAACTAGTTCGCTTCGCACACGCTTTGCAATTTACAGAGACGCGCCTGATGTGTTCTGCGCACGCATGTGCAGTTTACAGAGAAATCACCTTCCGCAGGAGGAAAACAGCTGAAGTGCGGCAATCCACTCTACCGCATCTATCAGCTGGGCTTCAGAAAAGGGAATATAGGTGAGTAATAGCGCAGGGGTTGGCAAGCGGGCCCAGCTGAAAGTCGGAGTGTACCGGTTCGCTCCCAGCTGATAGTTGCAGCTAAACAGTAGAATCCCATCCCTGTAGCTTTCCCAAAGCTGCTTTTTGGAAACCAGTGGTGCAACTTTTTTATTATTTCATGCCTAAAATTTGGCTGTTTCTCCCTGTGGGCCTTTCCTTCATTACACACAAACAAAAAACTGCTGAACTCAGATCAGACACTGGCGATTAAACTGATCTGTTGATAACAGCAAACCGAAGTACCACTAACCATACCTTATATTAGCAATAGTGGCAAATATCTGTAGCTCAGGTGTAGGATGAGGGTGATGGTTCATTCTCTGAGCTTGTGGGTTGGTTTCCAAATGTTCGGAGAGCAACCCACAAGCTCGGAGAACAAACCTTCACCCTCATACCTTATATTAGCCTAAAGCCTGGATAGATATTTCCTCCAATTGATGTAATAGAAGGACATTCCCTTAAAAGGTCTTTCTCACTTTTCATTAGCCTTTTCTTTTCCAAACAGTGGAAACCTAATGAGGTGTAAGGATGGAGAACCCTGTGAAAAAAGGCAAGGATATACTGAAGTTTCCCAAAATTTGTTAGCTAGGAAGATAGAAAATAGAAGAAGGCTAAGTCAAATGTAACTAAGGAACATTTGCTCCCTCTAGCGGAACCCAATAATAATGCATAGATTCTAGTTGTTACTACGGTAATTAATAACAAGCTTTTCCTTCCCATCAAAAACAAATAACACGATTGTTAATGGACAAGAAGTCAGCAGAGGAAGCACTTTTCTTTTGCTTTCATCTTAGATAAGTCCAGTAGGTTGCTAAAGATATTTTCATGATTATAGCTGGTGTTGTACAATACGATTGTAGAAAGTTAGCAGTGCACCCACCCCTCTCCTAGGAAAATGAGATATTTTAGAAATACTAAAAAGGCCGAATATTTGCCCTAAAAGGGAGGCAGAAACTCTTCCCTCCCCATCTTTGTCATTAAGGCCTGGGCCATTCTAGTCTACATAACAAAGATCTACCTCTTTCTGCAGAGCCATAGTAGGAATTGCCCAAAGCCCTTTCATTACATCACCACCCAGCAGGAGTCAACCAAGCTTGGCACTAAAAAGACAACCTACACAGTTACCCCTGCATGGCCCCATGGGAGTCTGACAACCAATCAGAATACTAGCTCAAATTCAAAGCCCAACAGAGGGCATAAAACCCGGTACTCTCAGCATCTCTGCGCTTTTTGCCCAGGATCTCAACGCATATGATCCTGTTCATCAATAAGCCTTCTTTCCAAGCAACTTCCATGAATCCAGTGTCTTTCCCCCCACTTGTAACTGAACCCAGATGGACATTTCTTCCAACACTATATTTTATAAAACAATTTCGGTGTCTATACCAGGAAGAGAGTTAAATATATTTCTTGAGACAGCTGAACAATGCTACTATTGTTATTGATTGGCTGAAGCATCTTTAAGAATGACCAAAACAAATTACTGTCATCCTAAAAGAGGACTGGTGGTGAGCCATGAAATAGGATGAGCAAAGAGTTATGCAGTTGTAGTGCACTCAATGGAATGTGTATACAGTAGTGTTTTGAGCCTTGCATTGCCTTTCTCTGTGCTAAAGTCCCTGCAGAATTCAGCATTTCATCTGAACACCCCAGTTAGAAAACTCATTCAGACAGGTTATCAAACCATGATTTGGAATATTTAGATAAACTTAGGTGCCTTTAGACCCTTTCCCCCTCCCCTCCCCTCTTACGTTACTGTACTTCTGACCTCCTTTATGGTTTGCAATTGCTTTGATGAAATGCTCAGAAATAGCACTTTTGTAAGCCAATGTTCTGTGAAATGTAGTGGATGAGGTTCAAAATAATTGCTTATGACAAAGAATACAATGGTGGATATAAAAAAAACTTTCTGTCTGTCTGGTATTATTTTGCCTCTAGTGTTGAATTCCAGTGCCCTTCCAATTCTGTACATATGTGGTATTCGTATCAAGAGTTTCATATGTGACCATACACAATCAAATAGAAATATAGTTGTGGAATCCCCATAGTCCATATCTGAACATTTCAGCTAAACCATGGAATCACCAAACAGATAACTAATCAGTGGAAGAAGGATTAGATAACTTTATAAGAGGGGAAGTGTGTGAGAAAACCTACTGATACACAGTCCAAATGGATGATGAATTATGATTGGAGTTGGCTTGTAAAATATGAACAGCACTATGATCATTTGGGAGACTTTCCTTGCATTTAATTTTCAGGCAATATCAGACACTTCTTGGTTTGAATTCTTTCTATAACTGTTTTAGTTCTCAAGTGAATCTGCCAATCACCTAGCAGAGGTCTCCAACCTTGGGAACTTTAAGACTTGTGGACTTCAACTTCTTTGCTTTGCTGGCTGAGGAATTCTGGAAGTTGAAGTCCACAAGTCTTAAAGTTCCCAAGGTTGGAGACCCCTGGCCTAGCCCCAGAGAGCAGATGAAAAACCAAGCATCATGTATAGACCTGGGTTGCGGCATTTCCATTCTTAACATTTGTGTCTGAAAGAGATTGACAACTCAATGGCAGCTTTAAATAAAGACTAAAATGGAATTATTTAACATCAATTTAATGTACTCGAGGCATGGCTGTGTAGGTTCTTCCCATGCAGCATTATGTAACTGATGCTGCATAGGGAGAGCTACATAGCAATGCCCTGAGTACATCTCTATAAGAGATTAAATCTGTGCTAGTTACATAACAAAAAAAACACAATTCTAACAGTAATGTCAAGAATTAGAATGCATCCAACATAACACTCCTATTGATACAAATAGGGATGCAGTGGCTCAGTGGCTAAGATGCTGAGCTTGTCCATAAAAAAAGTCAACAGTTTGGCAGTTCGAATCCCTACTGCTGCATAACGGAGTGAGTAGAAAAATAGGAACCACCTTTTGTGGAAAGGTAACAGCGTTCTCTGCACCTTCGGCATTTAGTCATGCCAGTCACATGACCCCGGAGAAGTTTTTGGACAGCGCTGGCTCTTCGGCTTTGAAATGGAGAAGAGCACCGCCCCTAGAGTCGGGAACGACTAGCACATATGTGCGAGGGGAACCTTTACCTTTACCTTATTGATACAAATAAATATCCCACCATTTCTCTTCCTCTATACACTTACATTTTCACAAAATTAAACATCAGCTTGCCATTGCCTATCAATTTTCCATTATTTTTTTCAAACACTGTATTGTAAAAAGGGGGGAAAGGTGTATATGATCTAAAGA